GACACACACACCGAACATCCCAAATGTCAAGGTTGTTTCCAAGCCCTGCTGGTTTGTGGAGCACCAAACAAGTCCCTGCTTAAGGTCTGGACGTTGCCCATCTGAGCTCCCACGTCAGGACAGTTTGACAGGAGGGGGAAATTCCACATTTTGAAGGGAAAAAAAAAAAAAGAGGAAGGAGCAGAGGTTTGGATCTGGTTCTTTTTAAAAAGTAGCAGCTGTTTGAAAGCTGCCTACAAGTTGAAAATGTTTGAAACTGGTATTAGGAGCTCCAAGCTGGTGTTAACAGGGATGGAGCCATGGATATCATGGCCACATGTGTGAGATTGATGCAGGAGCCGATGGGAATTCAGGGAGAGGGAGTTCTTGTGGAGACTGAACATATTTGTAAATTCTCTTTAGGGCCTTTTCCAGGTTTTTATCCACAGGGGATAGTTGCCTGCCATGCCCACAGCGGGATAAAAGGGTTTTTCCAAGCCAAGCATGCGACCTGAGGTGCTGGTGAAGACACTGATGAGGGAGGAGGGCTGATTTTCCTCGTGTGACATGGAAGAGAGTTTAGGCTGAATTTAATCACGGCATTTTTCCCCCGAAACAAAGCCAATGCAACCAATCCAGGTGAAACAAAACTGGGTGCTTTAATTAATTCTGCTCCAGTTTGGATCCCTTCCCAGCTTCTCAAAAAGAAAAATAACCCCAAGGAAGGCGCATTAACGATGCAATCAAGCATCTGAAGTTTCTCCAAGTGAAACCCTCTCATTCCTGATGTGTCAAAGCGCAGCGTTTGGACACTTCAGGAAATGGAAACGTGGGGTTTTCTCCTTAGAACATCCTGACCTGCCAAGCCTTAACCCAGCACATGATCCTGCCCTCCCCAAAATGCCTTTTTTGGGGGGTTGTGACCATTGTGCAGGGGCAGAGGTGGGAGAGGAGAGGGATTGTGGTGGCACTGGGGCTGTGACACGGCCAAGCCGAGGACGTCTCCCCCTGAGAGGACGTGTCTTTATCCGTGTAGAGGATTGAGTTGGCCCACAAACATCTACTTGTTCATTCAGGTCTGGATTTCCAGCTCTAACCCTCCTGAATCCCCAGTAGGAAGAAGAGAGGAAGAAGAGGAAGAAGAAAAGAAGAAGAAGGAGAAAAAAGGAAGAAGAAAAATATGAAGAGGATGAAGGAGAAGGAGAAGGAGAAAGAAGGAAGAAAAGAAGAAGGAGAAAAAAGGAAGAAGAAGAAAAAATGAAAAAGAAGAAAAATATGAAGAAGAAAAATATGAAGAAGGAGAAAAATATGAAGAGGAAGGAGAAGAAGAAGGAGGAGAAAGAAAGAGAAAGGAAGAAGAAAAGAAGAAAGAGGAAAAAAGGAAGAAGAAAAATACGAAGAAAAATATGAAGAAAAATATGAAGAAAAATACGAAGAGGATGAAGAAAAAGAAGGAAAGAAGAGAAGAAAAAAATCAGAAGAAAAAGAAGAATAAGAGGGAGAAGAAGAAGAAGGAGAAGAAAAGAAGAAGAAAAAGAAAAAGAAGAAAAAAAGAAGAAGAAAGATCCTCGCTTTGAAGGATGGGTTGACTGAATCATGCCTGTTTTAAAGTGCTAATTGGCTCTTCCTTTCAGCAATTAAGGAACACAGCCCCTGTCAATCTTTGTTGACTTGTAACACTGTTTATGTGGATAATGGTAGTATCAATTTAAGGTTTTCAGTAATTTTTTTTCCCCCCATCTCTTCTCCTGGACAGCCATTTCCACTTCCTGGCTCATATTGCAGGAACATTTTTTTTTTCTAATGCTTCTTTCATCTGATTTTTCAAAATGCTTTGATCAAAATCTCCCTTCTGAGCACCGAATGTGGTTTGAATCATCGAACTATTGCTATTAAAAGGAAAGAACCGACTTCTAATGACTTTGGTGGTGTTTGTGTGATCCAAAAGGGAATCCCTGGGAATATACCTGCAAGTACCAGAGGCCCCTTAGCTCTTCTTTTCCCTGAATCCTTTTTCCACGCTTTTTCTTTTTTTTCCCCCTCTTGTTGTTAGAATTTCTACGGAGCCATCCAAGAAGCTTGTTTGGTTTGATTCTTAAAGAACACAGATTTGTATGACTTTTGCTTTCTTTGCCCCGGGGATATCCCGTGTGAAATTAAGATTTTTCACTGCAAAATCCTCGCAGGAAAAAAAGATCTGATCCGTGAACGCTCCGATTTGGAAGCAGCTCCAGAGAGGTGAAGGAACGTTAATGGTGAGGAACATTTCCACCTTGCAGCCCATGAACATCCTTTCTCTCATCCCAAAATGGACATGGAAGGGATTGTTGCAAGGTGGTGGGACCATCCCAAGATGCCTTCATTCCCATAGGAAAGAGCAAGCCCAGGAAAGTCTGTGTGAGATGTGAGACACAACTGCTCAGCCCCATTGGGATCAACACCAGGGCTGGAAGCTGAGCCCCAGAGTCTTCCAAGGCTCAGGACAACCTGCCTTGTGTTCTCCCAGGCTGTGGAAGTGCACAGGCATCTGCTCTTCATTAAAAGCAGCTCTCCTGGCTGGATCCAGGTGGTGTGTTTGCACTCAGTAGCTCTGGCATTAAAACCTGATCTGGTGAATTCATGATTTTAGGGGAGGAAACATCAGCTCTCTGTTTGTGGGTGTTAAAGAAGCCACCAAATCTGGGGCCAGGCTGGTGAAGGGCTTCCCTGTGCTCCACGATCTCACCTGCAGCCTGGATTAGTTTGGGTCAAGCCCTCTCTGCCCCTGCCTGCTCAGCCAGGGTTGAGTGAGGGCAGAAGTGTCCCTGGCCTAAGATTTTGTAGGAAACTCTCAGGTATCTTCAAATACACCATATCTGTGCCCTCAGGCTGGGCCCAGCTTTTCTGCCTTTGCAGAGCCACCTCCCACTCCTCCATTGCACTCCCACACTACACCTTGGCAAAGCCACATCTCTGGAAGGGCCATGAGGGAAAAAAGAGCATTTTATGCCTTTTTTTCCCCTCTTCAGACACCATTCACTCCATCCCAGCCTCCTGCTTGGGCCCTTGAACAATTAAGAGCGGGAATAATGATGTGGCTCATTTGAGGTTTTGTTTCCACTCCTCAGACCAGAGCTGACCTCCCCTGTGAGTTCCCAGCCTTTCTTCTCCTGCTGAATTGTTTATTTTCTGATTTTGGATGGTTTCTAAGAACAGTCCTTTGGGTTTATACAAAGTTTACTCTTGTGCTTTGATTCATTGCACTTAAAGCTGCCGGTGTTGTTCTCCCAAGTGTTGGCACAAGGTATTTGACAATCCAACAGAGCAAATTCCTGGGAAGTAAGAACAAGACCTTGTGCTTAGACTTCATTTTCCTTTTCCTCTCTTTGCAGATGCAAAATGGATGTTTGTTTTCCATTGTAATTTTTATTTTTCATCAGGATTTTGGAAGGTTTCTGGACTGACTCCTTTTCCAGCAGTGGATTTACCCTTGCTTTTAGCTTTTGTTCTCAGTGGATGTTATTCCAGAGGGCCAGTGGTCCTGTAGGAAACACAACCAGGGCATTGCTGTGGTTTCCAGTTTGCTGAACTAGGAGGACCAGCTTGGGATGAGGCAGCAGCCAACAACCCAACTCTGTGTTGGCTGCCTTGAAGGCAAGCGCCTCCTCCTCCATGTGTGCAACGAGGTCAGTCACCCAAAGTGTTCCAGCTGGTGCCACCTGACATGGACCAACCTTGCTCCAAAGCTTTGACTTTTAATTAATTAGGGTTTTTTTGCAATCCATGAATTCCTGAGCACGGGCAGAGGAGGGGCAGGGACTGAGCTCTGCTCTGGGGGGACCAGGGACAGCACCCAGGGAATGGCTGGAGTTGTGTCAGGGGAGGGTTAGGTTGGATCTCAGGCAAAGGTTCTTCCCCCAGAGGGTGGTTGGGCACTGACCAGGCTCCCCAGGGCAGTGGGCACAGCCCCAAGGCTGCCAGAGCTCCAGGAGGGTTTGGCTGATCCTCTGGGGCACAGGGGGTGACTCTTGGGGATGGGCCTCTGCAGGGCCAGGGGTTGGACTGGATGATCCTTGTGGGTCCCTCCCAGCTCAGCATATCCTGGGATTCTGTGATCTTTGTTCCCCATCAAACAGCCTTTGCTTTGCCCCTGGGGACTCATGTTTGGAGAGAAGTGAAATACTGGACCAAGGGACCCCAAAATGTGAATATAGGGCATGAACACCAAGGGAGGTCCATGTCCTGCGCTCTCCATGGAGTTTCCATGGACTGTGCTAGAGATAAGAGCATTACAAGACACCAATATGTGTCTGCCTGTGGGGAAAAAAGGCATCTCCAAGCTGCAGGAGCCCAGAGTTTGTGCTGATGCTCTGGGGCACAGGGGTGGTTCTTGGGGATGGGCCTGTGCAGGGCCAGGAGCTGGACTGGGTGATCCTTGTGGGGCCCTTCCAGCTCAGCACATTCTGTGACTCTGTGACAAGCTTTCGTCATCTTTCCCCCCCTCTCCAAGGAAGCTCTGGGGTAATGTCAGGTTCCTGTGAGCGTTCCAGAGCTTCCTGGTGGCCTGGAGCTCCCAGCCAACATCCACCCACACTTGTGGTGCCTTTGAACCGCTTATAAATAGCTCGTGTGGCTGCTCCATGTGCAGCCTGGGACCCAGGAGGAGCTGCTCACATCTCAGGCCCAAGGTCGGGGCTGCGGTGCCATCCCAGCAATCCCTCAGTGCTCCCACCCTCATGGAATCCAGCAGGGATCCTGCCCTGCGATTTTCCCTCTCCTTCACGGGGCCTGGGCGGGGGGGGGAGGGGGGGGAGAAGGTTGGGGTGTTGGGGTTTTTTTTTTCCTTAGGAAAGCAAACTGGCAGAATTCCTGCCACAAGGAACGAATTTGCACACACACTTTGATCCCTTTATGATTTTTTTCTTTGTGTTAGCCACATCCTCTTCGCTGCACCACTCAGCCAAAGATGCTTTAAATTAGATGAGGCTCGGCAAACACTCCCTTTGTGGCTCCCTCCCCCCAAGCCTTGCCTGCCCCCGAGGTTTGGGATTGGTCTGGGAGCCAGAGCTTTGCCTCACATGAAACTGGCACAACCCAAAAGGCCAAAAAAAAAAAAAATCTCATTTGTCAGCTTTAATCCATCACATTCCCCAAACAGAACAGCCTCCCAAATTCTGCAGCGGTGTTTACATCACCCTGACTGAAAGCTCCATCCGGGCACAGAAATGCTGCAGCTCCAGTTTCACACGAAACTTTATCGTCCCATCTGCCCCAACAACTGGAAAAAAAAATCCTAAAAAATCCCTTTTTGCATTTCTTCCTTCTTCCCCTTCCCGCCCAATCCAGCCTCCACATTTGCACACTCATTTCCCCCCCCCCTTCCTGTGATTTCCTGGTAAAAGTGGTGGGTGATGAGCAAGTGGAATTATTTGCTGCGGAGATGGTTAATGACTGTGCTAATGAAAGCAGCACAATCCTTTGGCATCATCCCGAGCCATGGGACTGGCACTGTGCACTGGGATTGGGAGCATTGACCTCTGAGTGGGGAAAACCCTCAGGAACACCATCAAAGAAGGGTAAATTAGAGATATTTTCCACTGGAAGGTGTGAATGGAAGAGGGGAAAAGCTCTTTTAGCATCAGGTCAAGGAGGAGAAGATGGTAACTGGCCCCACATAAAGGAAATCAATCCAGACAAGTGATCATTCCAGCACCTGGACTAGTGGAAGGTGTCCCTGCCCATGGAATGAGAGGAGCTTTAAGATCCTTTCCACTCCAAACATTTCTGGGATTCTCCTGTTCTGTACAGGTGAATTTTAGAAAGGATCACAAAGAGTCCAACATTCCACATACCACAGGGCACCAAGCACTTCCCAACAACTCCAGCTCCTCATCAGATGGAACAACTATGAAAAAATTATAAGGAAAAAAAAAAGGAAAAGGAAAATAATGTGCTTTGGATCAGAGGGTGCATTTTGTCTCATCAAAAAATGAAGGGTTTTTTAATTCTCCTTCTGATTTGGTGACAGGATTTCTAATCACACATATTCTCATTGTCCACAGGCTGAATTTCTTAAAAGATTGGAGACAAACATCCTAGAAGTGCAAACCTTTGAAAAACCAGGCTCTGATTGGGACCCCTTGGGTTTGGGATGGCTTTTGAACCCTTATCTCTGAAAAACTCCAGCCCCGAAGGAAACAGCACCTGTTTTATCCAGCCAAGGAGCGCAGACAATTCCCACGTGGCTGCTTGGAATAAAAATAAGGCTGTCAGGTGATGCATCACAGAAAAATCAGTCTTTTGCCTGTCAGAAAACACCCCTCTCTTATGTCCAAGTGCTGTTACCACCCCCAGCTCTGAAATGAGGGCCCTGGACAGACACCACCATCTCAAGTCCCAGCAAACCATAGACCTTCATCAAAAGTTTTTCATCCCAGTCAAAAATAAGAGACTGGAAACCCACTTTTCGCCTTCCTCCCTCACCTCTTGCCTCCTCCAAAGCAGGAGCTGTTTCTGGCCTCCAGATGTCAAACCCACAAGCTCTCCCCTCTTGCTATTTTTACCGTGCTTTGATCTTTTGCAGCGGCTGCCTGGGCAGGGGGGGAGCACAGGGGGTGCTGCTGTGCCCCCTCGCTTCCCTGCGCCCCTCAGAGAGAAAAACCACCCAAAAAATGGAGTGGGAATGGAGGAGGGAGGTGAGGGAAGAATCACAGAGTCACAGACACACAGAGTCACAGACAGCATCACAGTCAGCCACAGAGTCACAGAGACAGAGACACAGAGTCACAGTCACGGTCAGTCACAGAATCACAGTCACAGAGTCACAGAGACAGAGTCACAGTCACAGAGTCACAATCAGCCACAGATTGTGGTCAGTCATGGAATCACAGTCAGTCACGGAATCACAGTCAGTCACAGAATCAGTCACAGCCACAGTCACAGAGTCAGTCACAGAATGACACAGTCACAGAATGACACAGTCACAGATTCACAGCGAGAGAGAGACAAAGAGTCACAGAGACACAGAGTCACAGAGACAAAGAATCACAGAATCACAGTCACAGTCACAGAACCACAGACACAGTCACAGAGACACAGTCACAGAGTCACAGAATCACAGTCACAGTCACAGAGTCACAGAGTCAGAGTCAGTCACAGTCACAGAGACACAGAGACAGTCATAGAGACGAGTCAGTCACAGAATCACAGTCACAGTCACAGAGACACACTCACAAAGTCACAGAGACAGAGACACAGAATCACAGTCACAGTCACAGAGACACACTCACAAAGTCACAGAGACAGAGTCACAGAATCACAGTCACAGTCACAGACACACAGAGACAGTCATAGAGACGAGTCAGTCACAGAATCACAGTCACAGTCACAGAGACACACTCACAAAGTCACAGAGACAGAGACACAGAATCACAGTCACAGTCACAGAGACACACTCACAAAGTCACAGAGACAGACACAGAATCACAGTCACAGAGACAGAGACACACAATCACAGTCACAGAGACACACTCACAAAATCACAGAGACAGAGACACAGAGACACACTCACAAAATCACAGAGGCAGAGACACAGAGTCACAGTCACAGAATCACAGAGGCAGAGACACAGAGTCACAGTCACAGAATCACAGTCACAGAATCACAGAGTCACAGTGGTGCTGCATCCAGGCCCATCTTTTCTTGAGGCCCCTGAGGACTATCCCCAAAATTCCATTGTCCTGGGGACTAGAAGGACTAGAAGGAGTCATTTGTACTTATTTTGGGAGTTTCAGGATGCAAAGGGGGAAGGTTGATGGGCAGAAGGGAGGTTGGAGGGCACCTGCCCGAGGGCTCAGCACTCGGGTCTCAGTGGGGATGGGTTTTCTGTGGGGTGGGAAGGAGTTTGTTCCATTATTTTGGACCAAAGTGGGATTCAGGACTTGAGGGCAACCTCAATTTGAGGCATGGAGGCAGTTGGAGGTGCAGAAGGTGACACTCCTGCCTGCCCTCCACCCCAGATAGATCCCACCTGCTCTGAGGGCATTTAATCATCCTGGATTTTCCTCCTCCCCGGACTGGGGGTTGAACACCATGGCATTAAGGCAAGACATGTGCTTTATATAGAGCAGGGTCAGTACAGCAACACGAATCACTCCCTGCCTGACCTCCAGGCATTCCCAAAAGAGATGGGATTCCCTTCCAAAGGCAGCTGAGTCATGCCTAAAGCTCTGTCTTGTTATAATTCACTGGGCTGCCTCACCCCGCTCTACCTTAGCCCCCCTGACACCTTGAAACCCACCCTGTGCCCCATCCAAAAATAAAAAATATGTCTTTTTCACGTCATAACACACAAGAAAAATGAAATTGTGCTATGAATGGGACTCGTTCCTGGAGCAAAGGAAGCAATATTCCAACTGGAGAATGCATGTCCAATTGGAGAGTTGGGAATATCTTCTTTTTCCTCCCCTGCCAATGTTTTATTGTTGTGGTGGGTAATATTGGGAAGCTCTCCCAGCGCAGCCTAGAGACTCACTCAACAACTCCAGGCTGGCAAAATAGTGCTGAGAGGATTGAGTGGCCTGATGTTTTTATTGCCGAAAAAAAAAAAAGGCAAAGGGAAAATTGATGGTTCTAAAAAAGTCTGGGAACAGGAGGTGGAAATTGGTGTTCGTGAGCAGGTTTTTAGCCATTCTCTGCATCCCACGAGCTCCCCGCGGAGAGCTTGGGGTGAGGAAATGTCCAGGCATATTCCATGGACTGAGAGCACGTTCGGTGTGCTCCAGGAAAAACTTTCCCATGGGACTTGAGGGTTTTGGGCCACTGAACAAAACATTTGGGCAAGTTTGTGTGCGTTTTCCTAAGGAGCAGCAAATTTAGGTCCTCCTGTGTCATCCTTATGTTGCCCAGCTGAGCTGGGACTGAAGGGGTGAATTCAGTGCTCTGAGTCAACACGGAAAAATATAAAAACTCAGGTGGGATCCCTGTTTCCTGCAGAGCTTCTGGGATGCATCAGTCGGGCAATGATGGCTGGGCCTGGAGGCCTGCAAGTGCAGATGGGGCTGGGGCAGGGGAAACTGCTCCATGACCACCCATCCTACCTCGAGCCAAGCTCCTTGAGCTGCATTTCCTGCCCCAAGGGTGGCCAGGGAGGTGGGGGAGTCCCCAGCCCTGAAGGTGTCCAGGGAAGCACTGGCCGTGGCACTCAGTGCTCTGGGCTGGGGGACAGGGCAGGGATCAGACAAAACTTGGACTCGATGGGCTGGGTGGGCTTTTCCAACCCCAGTGATCCTGGGATTCTAGAAATGGGACACCGTGAGATAATGCCTGAGGATCTGACTCCAACAGTCTCCCGAGGAACATCTGGCTGGAGACACCGCCAGGATCTCCTGGGGTGACCAAAAAATGGGAGATCAGGATGCTGGAGAACTTGCCAGAAGCCCCAGCCAGAGCAGCACCTTGCCCACAGAGCGCATTTAGAAGGTAAAACACTTGAGTTTGTGTCGAGTTTCCCTCTCCTCTGCTCCTCAGCACCCACCTGCTTGCTCCTTATTCTCCAGTCCTTCCTTTGTCCTCCAGACAAGGTCACCTCGTTGCTCATTGTGGCACTGGGGGGACAAGAGGCAGACTTGGAACACTCCAAGGATCAGAGCCCCCTCAGCCAGCTCCCCATCCCTGGATGACAACACTGGGAAGGCTGCCCACGCCACAAACCCTCTCCTGGGTGTTTTGTGGCAGCCTCAGTGTCTAAAAACCCCAAAGCAGTGGGAATAACACACCAGCAGGTGTTTCCTCTCCATCTCCATGTGCTCAGACATCCCTCCCCACCGTGGCACCGAACCCATTTGCTGGTTTGTGTTTAAAAGCTTTGGCTTTGCCCTGAGGCTCCCAAAAACAAAGCCCTGATCCACATTACAGACAGACCCTCTCCCCAAAAAAAAAACCTCTCCCCTCCTGCAGCTGTAGCAACTCCATCCCTTGTAAACATATCGAGGCAAGATCAAACCTCGCTCCCTCCAAAGGAATTCCTGCATCCCCACGAGCTGCATAGCTGTGGCTGTTTAGTATTCCCAATTTAGGCCTTGGCAGAGAGGAAGGAGCAGTGAGTCTGAGAGCACATGTGCTGAGAAATGCAGTGCTGAAGGGGAGCCCACCCTTCATTTAAAGGGGAGAACTAAAATATCCTGTGGGGGGGGGGGAGGTGTAGACACACGTGCACATGTGTCACGGTACTTAAGCAAACACGAGACCCACAGACCACTGAGCACTCCCTTCTCCTGTGGCACATTTGGAAAAGCGCTGATGCCTTCCGGGAGATGGGGAGGGATGGTAAATGTTTGGGTCTGGAGCAGCACGACTCACCACTGCGCTTTTCTGAGTGGCTTGTGGTGAACAGCAAGCTAAAAAAACACCCAACCCGTTGGCTTGCTCCGTGTCCAAACTCATCCTGTCCCTTCGGAGCAGCGGAAACGGGAGCAGGTTTTTTCCGTGGATGATTTTTTTATGCTTTACAAATCACAGAATCCCACAATGGTTTGGGTCAAAGGGACCTTAAAGACCATCTTGTTCCGTGGGCAGGGACACCTCCCACTAGCCCAGGTTGCTCCAACCTGGCCTTGGACAATTCCAGGGACAGGGCAGTCACAGTTTCCCTGGGAATTCCATCCTAGCCCCTCCCCACCCTCCCAGGGAAGAATTTCTTCCATATATCCATATGAATTTCCCCTGTTTCAGTTTGAATTTCCCATCTTCCAGTGTGAGTTTATCCCTTGAATCATCAGTTCCTCCTGTCCTGGGGGGAAAGGAACCCCGATCCGAGCCCATTGCCCGGGGAAAGGGCTCTAGTTGCAAGAAATGGACTCAGGTCACCCCATTCCTGGGCTGATCCTCTGAGCAGGAGGGACAAGGTGGTTCCCCTTGCAGAATCAGCCTGTTCAGGGCTGGTGCCCACCCAGCCCATCCCTTGAGGGCCACCTGGAGGGACAGCCAGGGCAGTGACCCTCAGCATGGAGAGATGCCACAAGTCCTCCCCCTCAGGGAGAAGCTGATGCTCCCTCCCATGTGGAAACACAGCTCTGGAGCAGGAATTTCACCAAAACCACCCTAAGATCTTGCCATTTAGCAAGGCTGGAATGGACAGTGGAGACCTCGACGCCAGGATAAAACTGTTTGGCAAATATCAGCTACAAAATGCTTCATTAATCTGTATTAATTTCGTTAATTAGCAGGTTCCCACCAGGCTGTGCTTTATGGGACCCTCCTGCGTTATGGGATATATTTTGACTTGCCAGCAAGAGAACCTTCCTGCCCAAAAGGTTGTTATCTCAGTGGCTCTCCCAGGGCCCAAACAGGGACATCACAGCAAGGGCAGCAGCAGGGCTTCGATTTCTCCTGGTGTTTTTCCCTGTTCTTTTCGTGGAAAACTGGCTCCAGCTGAGCTGGTTGCACTGGGAGCTGGTGGCACTTGTGACCTGAGGATCTGACGTGTCATACGTAGGTTTTTAAAACCAAGGAGGTTTGGGAGAGGTGGGAAATGGGAACCCAAGTTTTTGTGGGAGGGAAGATCTGAGCCTGAAAGGCAGGATCCCTGGTGGGTGGGATAGAAGCCTCCAGTGGGAAAGGATTGCTGACCTGGGCTCCCTCCCAGCTGCCTCTGCTCGGTAGGCTCAGCTTAACCAAGGTGTTTGCACGGGAGCCCCCCAAGGAGG